GGGGGGGGGGGGGGGGTTCTAGAGAAGAGGAATAAACCGTAAAATTATGATTATAGTTCATGGTATACCTCAGAGTACAAATATTAGGTGCTAATTTAGTTACAATGCAGATCCTCTGTAGTACAGAGGGGGGAACAGCAAATCTTCTTAGTACAGAGGGGGGACCAGCAGATCTTCTGTAGTACAGAGGGGGGAACAGCAGATCTCCTGTAGTACAGAGGGGGAACAGCAAATCTTCTGTAATTCAGAGGGGGGAACAGCAGATCTTCTGTAGTACAGAGGGGGGAACAGCAGATCTTCTTAAGTACAAAGGGGGGAACAGCAGATCTTCTTAAGTACAGAGGGGGGAACAGTAGACCTTCAGTAGTACAGAGGGGGGAACAGCAGATCTTCTGAAGTACAGAGGGGGAAACGCAAATCTTCTGTAATTTAGAGGGGGAACAGCAGATCCTTTGAAGTACAGAGAGGGGAACTGCAGATCTTCTGTAGTATAGAGGGGGGAACAGCAGATCTCCTGTAGTACAGAGGGGGGAACAGCATATCTAGCAAAGTCTGGGAAGGTGCAAAGTACAGAGGGGGGAACAGTAGATCTTCTGTAGTACAGAGGGGGAACAGCAGATCTTCTGTAGTATAGAGGGGGAACAGCAGATCTTCTGAAGTACAGAGGGGGTAACTGCAGATCTTCTGTAGTATAGAGGGGGGAACAGCAGATCTCCTGTAGTACAGAGGGGGGAACAGCATATCTAGCAAAGTCTGGGAAGGTGCTAAGAGGGAGGGAGAGGGAAAGGGTAACATATCGTCCCTTTTTGAAAGGACTGAAGACATAATTCTAAGTCACTCTGCATTTTAATTTAATCATAGGTTATCTTTACAAATGACTCGTAGTTTAAATGGAAAATGAAAGGAGTTATAGGCTGAAATTAATAATTTAGGGATTGGATAGAGTCCCATAAGAGTTCTTTCTATTGTTCCTGTCTCAAGAAATTGATATAAAACTGTGTCAAATTTATACTAAAATCTAAATATATAAAACTTTGCATAAAAATTTTAGGTTTAATTAGATTATATTCCGCAAATACGCAACCAATCTGAAAACAACGATATCCCAGAGAAGCCTAAGTAACTTAGGTTTGCTCCCATTATTATTTGAATACTGGTCACGTGATACTAAACTGCCATTGGTGGGAGTTTTGGTCACGTGATACGGACGTATAAATAATATTATCAATTATATCTTATCTAAATGAAAATTATTAAATTTAAATAATGATAGAAGCAAACCTAAGTTACTTAGGCTTCTCAGGGAAATCGTCGTTTTCAGATTGGTTGCGCATTTGCTGAATATAATGTATTTAAACCTACTCATCTTGTACAAAATTTCATATATAGATTTTCATACAAAGGAATTGAGTTTTTGCCACAAACTAAAATCTTCTGATTCCAATATCTTTGCAATCTTTTGATGCAAACCTTTGTTATTTCAAACTTAGATTATTTTATATAAGTATTAATAGTTTGAAATATCTAAGGTATACGACATTGGGTTACAAAGATATAGAGATTAGAAAATCAGACTTTGTGGCAAAAACTCAATTCCTTTGTCACATTTTTATATCAGTTTATCGAGACAGGAACATCAGATAGAAATCTTATGGGTCTCGATCAACTCTTAAAATACTTAGGTTTCAGCATATCTTTCATTTTCCTGTACAGTCCCTTTAAGCAGCAGAGAAAACAAATATAATTGCCAAAATTCAACACTTAGTAAGATTTAAAACAAGAATTTGTTTTTTACAGTACTTATAAACGCGTGCAATATTTAATTTGCTTACAACTAAACAGTTCTCCAACTTATTTCATGTTTGTGTTAAAATGATTTATTAAAATCATTCACGGATAATTAACTATTTATAATTAATCTGTCTTGCAACAACAAATATCTACTAAATATAAGAATAAATATTATTTATGCTTGACTAGATAAATCAAATCTTTCATCTTGTTTATTCAGAGCTAGTGATGTGCATTGGTTTAAAAGCACGAAAAAATGATGGTTTTCGTTTCGTTTTTAATTTTTAAAACTAAGTGTTAGTTGTAAGTTTTTGAAGATGAAAAAAAGAAACGAGAAAACCAAAGTTTTGATGTTTTAAATAAAATTGTTTGGACAATAAGGCAAGGTGTATAAATGTTTTCTTGAATACGTTAGTTTTTGTGAATTTATCTTCTGTGGAAATAGACTTCAGATAAAGTTATCTTAAAAAGTGTTCATACTTTTATCTTATATACTTTTATCTTATATACTTTTATCTTATATACTTTTATCTTATATACTTTTATCTTATATACTTTTGAGAAATTGTTGTTTTTCTGGGAAACAAAAACCAATCGTTTTTTGAAACATAGTCCTCTTAAAGAAATTTTTTCAAAAACAATCGCTTCTTTTTAAATTTTTAAAGCTCTCTATAATTTTTTTTTATTTACAAAAAACAGTTAGTTAAGATGAACAATGGTAACCAGCAAATTATCCTCTCAAAAATGTAGTCAATTAGATCGGGAAAATGTAATTATAATTAGTATTAGTAGGCTTTTAAATTTTAGCTCTTAACTGTTGCTCTAAAAGTCGGCCATTTTCCAATTTTGGCGGATTTTTCTTTTAGAATCAAAGCATTTAAAAAAAATCCAATTTTTCCAGGATTTGTTTATCCAATTTTGATGTTCTCTTCCTTGAGCTCTCACAAAAATTTTGGTCCAGATCGGTTCAGCCGTTTAGAAGTTCATGGGTTACAAACAGATGACAAGCAAAATATATATAATATAACTATTTATTATCACAATATTATCATGTAAACTTTAAATAATGATGGTCAGTTGAAATATAAATGTCCTTGAAACATTCTGCCTTGATGTTGCCTCTAGTTTATAACAGATGTTAATACAGGTTGTCCAACAAAAAGTTGTAAGATGAAATAGTTTTTTTTCTATTTGGTTTACGCCAGACTTTCATCAAAACTTAAAACACTTTTCTTCAGTTGTAAAGGATTATTTGGAACAAGTCTAATAGATTTTCGCAGATCAAATTTGGATACTTTGTTCTTAGTAAAATACGAATCACATTTTTGAGTTCGTTCACCTTGTATTTTTAAAACTAGATGAAGACTAGTAATATAATTCTTATTGCATTATATTACTTACACCTAAGAACAGATGCCTGACGCACTTTCAACAACGAACTACTAAGAATATGCTTTGAGGACGCACAACATAATTTTTTTTACGTATAAATTTTTTTCTGACACCCGGCAATAGGGATAATTACGACGGCGTCAGATTGAGCGGAAATAGGATGAAAATCCCAAGTTTGGTTTGATTCTTGTCATCTAGAGTCTAAAGACTAAATGCATCTAAAAACCAAACCCTGACATCTGACGCATTTCCTCAATTTTACATTTATTAACTAAGATCATTGCTGGGGTTCTACAGAGCTCCCCAACCAAAGTTTGAGGCAAATCTGTAGAGATGTTCATAAGTTATGATCATTGTACAAACAAACTTTGAATGGTCATATTGTGATCGAAAGTCACAAGTTGTCATTGGAAAAGGGCCGAACTATTAAATCAGCGTATGGCCCCTTTTAGAACACAGATTTAATCCATTAATCATTAAAAACATTTTCAAAACTTTGAGTAATGCCATTTTTAGTAAATATGATCGAATTTCGAACCTATTTCTTGATAATATTTTTTGGAAAATATGTTTTTTCGGAAAAAAGGAGGAAAATATTTTATAATTTTCAGAAAGTTGATGAAGTTTAAGAATAAGATTTCAGATTTTTTTATAAAAAATATTGATCAGAAAAAAACAGTTTTTATTATAATTGTAATAATTGAGATCAAGGATTTGGTATTATGAGATGAAAAACAAGATTATCTCAAGTTTTTTTAAATGCAAAAATAAAAAATTTTCCCCATTAAGAGTCGACATAATACTAATTTGGTGGCTCAAGGGTGGTTAATCGTTAAAAACGAACAAAAATCAATTGTTTTCGAAACGACGGCGAAATGTTTTCTTTAGTTAATTTGAATGTCATAACGATTTAATTTTTGAAAAGATTCTTACCTGTGTGTTTAACGTTTAGGACTGCTGTTTTGGACGTTAAACGATCTTTAAAGATCGTCTTAAGGGAAAATCACCCACCTCCATTAAAGAAACGCCAGAATAAAAAAAAATATTTTTCGTTTCTTAATTTAGAAAATAATTCTTTTGAAACGGTCGCAGTTAACGAAACGATCCGTTAGTTTTCCATTAAAGTGAAAACAATCCATCTCTTTCAATTTTTAAAGTTGCATAACAAATTTACAGCAGTACCCATAGATGAATTAAAATAACAGATAAAACACTTTAGTCTTTTCAAGATTTAGGGGTTTTTTGTTCACAATAACCCAGAGACAGAAACCCAAAGGAGTTACGTTCAGTCGGCGTAGAACAGACTCTCGACTCTCTGTCTTATAATTCTACGCAGTAACTCTTTTGGCCGTCTGCCAACAGGGTTATTGTACACGAAAAAACCCTAAATCTTGAAAAGACGACATCTAGTGTTCTATCTGTTGTTTCAATTAATCTATGGCAGTACCCTTGAAATTCATATCTTATCAAAAAATGATTGAGCTATCCTTATTTTTCTTTTGATCTTTTTAGTTTTGGTTTCATTATTTAAACGGAAAGAATTTAACAGGTTGTTTTCAAAATAGGTAATTGATGGAACATCTTTCTCACCGTTACTTATGAAGTAATTAAAATTAAAACAACATTTTGAAGGATATATTTATTTATCTGGAATCAACATTTTGCGTAAATTACAACTTTCAAAAAAAAATAATCGTAAAAACTAACAAGAAGAAACTTTACTTTTAAAAATAAAATTTATTTAAAGAAATAAAATATTCTAACGACTGTAAAAATATTTTTGACATGTTATAACATCAAGGCCTCTTACTCCGACAGCGGAGGTCTGAGTCAGTAACTTAGGAAGTATGACATCAAACTTTTAGAGATTTTCTCTCCAATACTGTAAAATACTTAGTTTAAAACTGAAAATCAATAATAATAATAAAAATAACATAATAATAATGATAACAAAAAATCAAAGTGAAAAATTAACACAATTATTTTTTTATTTTTTTATTCCATAAAAGTTTATTTACAAAGAAAAGTGTATAATGATTTTCCTTTAAACCAGAGAATTTAATTGATAAAAAATGTCTTACTCTGTTTTACTTATATTCATCCTTGCAGTACACTTTTTTATGTAAACAAATATATCAGGGTTCATTGGCTCAATAAATATCATACAGGGAGAACCAGAAAACTGTGGATTATAAGGACAATATTAAGATAAAATCACTTCATCAGTGAAATGAATGTGTAAATATTGCACACAATTGCTGTGTTTAAAGGGACTATAAGGGAAAAATGAAAGTCCGTATTACGTCATATAAACTTCAGCCAATTGCATTGCAGTATACTGGTCACGTGATTTCCGTCTTTATTACGTGACAACGATACTGCACTAGCATTGGCTGAAGTTCTGGTGACGTAATACAGACTGAGACTATATGTAATAAAATTATTAATTATATCTATTAAAAATGCTAAATAAAAAAATTATAATAGAGGCAAACCTGATTCTTAGGCTTTTGTCCAGGATATCGTCGTTTTCAGATTGGTTGCGTATTTGTTAAATATGATCTGTTTTATACAAAATTTCATATATATATGATTTTTCGTATAATTTTGACACAGTTATATATCAATTTCTCGAGACAGGAACATCAGATATATGTATTGTTTAACGCCCGAGATGCTCAGGTTTCATCCTATACCCCCTTTCATTTTTCCTTTACACTCCCTTTGATGTGTATTGTACTAATTGAGGTCATAACTTGAGTCATAAAGTCGTCTTCCTATTCTTCCTATTCCAGAGTTTTCTGGTTTTCTTTGTGTATTTTCAAGGTTTAGTTTTACTAACTTGGTGCTTAGCTAAAGAGAAAATATCCGGAAAAAAATATTTATATAAATAAAATTTAAGTAAAAAGCAAAAAAGTCCAAGTTATGGATTTCTACATTTTTGACTTCACGGGTTGAATGTCACATGGTCAGCTGAGGGTCACATGGTGTAAAGGATCAGCTGATTGGTAACATGGGCACATGTCACGTGGTCAGCTATTTGGTCACGTGGTCAGCTGATTGGTACTAACGGACATTGTTACTTTTTCGTTTAAATAAACGAAATAGGGGAATTCTTTTACAGAAAAAAATTTATTTAACTAAAAGTTATTGTTGTTACCCTCTATATTTTGTATTTACATATTTTATAATATACAAAAGAAAAATAGGAGAAATGGCCAAAATTATAGATATTAATAAAATCTTTGTTTTGCAATGAAAAAAAATGTTTAAAGAAGAACCAAAAATTCTCATCGCTAGCCATAAAATTAATGATAAAGAAGTGGGACCACTGCATGGAAAAAGACTATTTATTCAGTAGAAGTAATTATTTCCATTTACTGTTAGTGCCGATTAAAAGAATTCATATCTCTAATTGGATACTGAGATAGATAGCAAGATAGATATTACCGCCATACCATTTCTATTGGTTCAGAATAGACAACAAACACATGGCAAAACCCTGATTGGTTTAGGCGCTAATATGTAATCGGCATACAAGTGTGTGTAAATTACCACAATAGGATTTACTGTGAACCTCCGCCAATTCCGCCAGCATTTAACAACTCCAGTAGCTCTTCATCTGCCAGACAACCCTAGTTAAAGAATTATTACCTTAACCCTAGTCATCATCATTATTATTATTATAATTATAACTATTATTATAATTATTATTAATAATTATTATTATTATTATTATTATGATCAACCTTTATAAACTCCTCCTCCTCCAAAGTTCCATCTCCGTTATTGTCTAGGCTCTTGAATATCTTCTCAGCCCTCTCTGTGGCCTCCTCCTCCGTATATCCCTGTAACAAAGGTTTAGTCAGGGAATATAAAAGTTATAATTATACAGTATAAGTGTACTTGAGAGTACTGTACAGTAAAGAAGCAGAATCAGGAGGATTTTTTTTAGTTTCGCACACTAGAGGCGCTAGATAGTAGATTCTCCTTGTATACATGTAGTTTGTGTTGTATCAGTAAAACCCAGGGAGTAAGGAATATAAGGTAGATATAACTGACGCAGTTCGCCCTACCATATGATTATACATGCTTTGCAGACGGTACTTCAATAGCAATACGATCAAACGCAAAGGGAAGGCTAGCTCAGCTGCAGGAAATGGAGGGGATGGAGTGTAGGGAGAGGATGAAGACTATATATCTATTGTCAGGGGCTTATAGATGTCTCTACCTGCCAGGATATATACAGTGATAAACAGAAAACAGTGGAATAGGAGAATGACATTTTAGCAATACAAAAGTTTATTGATGTTGTTACGAATAGGGTTAAGGTTGTAAAGAGTTTTTCGTTTCGTTTTTAGTGACTTTATAAGGTGCGAAGATATTTGTATTGGAATCAAATTTAAACATGCATCTTTAAACATGCATCTTTAAAAAAAATAATATCTGTAGATATTATTACTGTCCTTTAAACTGAAATATACAAAAACTGTTTCTAAAGCATTTAATAACAAATTTGAAAACAAAATTACTACTCCAAATCCACCCATACTGGGGGTTTATAATTCCACTGGAGGGATTCAGAAATCCATTCAGAGGGTTTATAGTTCCACCCTTATAAGAAATTTTCTTGTTGTTGTCTGGATTTATGGTTATGGCATGGATGTCATGTACTAAAGCAACTACAAGAAATGAATTTTAAATATATTTTACAATCTTGGAAGTAACAAAGGTTTTCATCATAAATAAATAACAATACAGTTAGATTACTAGATGTCGTCTTTTCAAAATTTAGGTGGTTTTAACTTGTCGTTTACAATAACCACGAGGCAGAAGCTCAAATGAGTTACGCGTATGACGCTGTGAATTTACGAGACAGGCAGAGACTATGCGCGTAACTCCTTTGGGCTTCTGCATCAGGGTTATTGTGAACTAAAACCCCCTAAATATTGAAAAGACGACATGGTGTGTTCTGTCTGTATTGTTATTAACCTATGCTTTTCATGCACTGATACTAAAAAACAGATTTCTTTGAAAACAAATTTCTTAAATTTAAAACTAAATTTAACAGAAAATTGCAAAAAAAAATCTAAAGTATCAAATGAAATCATATCATTGTAAATTTGTAAAGCTATATTTCACATAAACTTTCTATTTAATGTATTTTCTTCCAAGTTTCCTTTAATGTTGTTTTAAAGTACTGTTGAAAATATTCCCACCCCCGGCCAATAAACTTTCCAATTTCCTTACCAAGAATTGGAGTTGAACCCTGGAAAAGAAGAGATATAGAAAATTAAACTTATTAAACTCAACCCCCCCCCGCCCTATCCTATGGCAAAATCTCAGTATTATAGCTCGAGGTTAAATAAAGTTTCGCACCCTCTTTTTCCTGGTAATTCACTTCTTACGCTGTTTTCTAATATGTTTGTAACAGTTCTTCCTCGTACATTTTAAAACAACGATAAAAAAATTTCGCAGATTTTTAAATCTGTTCATTCTTCTTTGCTTGCATTGTTGTCACTTTTCATTTGTACTATACTGTACTTAGGGTTGTTAATCGTTTTTCAAAACGATCGTTTCGTTTTCGGACCCACTCGTTTTTAACTTTTTTAAAACGAAAAACGATCGTTTTTCATAAGATTGTTTTTAGAAAACGATCGCTCTTGAAAAAAAAACGTTTTGGAAAAAAAATTATTGACAATTATGTTGACGATCGTTAACGAAGTGCCGTCGTTAACGATCGTTAACGAAGGGTTGTCTTTACCGATCGTTAACAAAACGACGAACTTTATATAAACGGTCGTTTTTTGAAAAACAATCGTTTTTGAAAAAAAATTACATGCAACTTTATTGAATGTTGGCTTACATGAAGTTAAACAGTTGTGGGGGAGCAAAAACTTCGTGATATTTTCTTAAAAACTACACATTGATAAGTACAGATGCCCTTCAGGTCGTTTTTCTCTCTTTGTTAACGATCGTTAACGAAGGGACATCGTTAACGATCGTTAACGCAGGGTCGTCGTTAACGATTGTTAACAAAACGACGAGTTTTATAAAACTACCATTTAAAAAAACGAACTTTAAAAAAACGATCGTTTTTAAAAACGATCGTTTTTAAAAACGATCGTTTCGTTTTCGATTATTCGTCGTCGTTTTCATAACGAAACGATAGTTTTTAAAAAAAAAATGAAAACGTTAACATCCTTAACTGTACTGTACTGTACTGCAACGTACCTGTATAGAGTACATAAGGCAGAATATTTCCACCATCTCTCCCATCTCAATCTCTCCTGATCCATCCTAGAGAGATTGAATCTTTGTCATCAATTGAGCAATTAATCAATTTAATAATCTGTTCGTTATCAATTTATCAAATCATTATAGGTACCGTTCACTTATTTGGGTAATTTTGGGATAATCTAAATAGCTTATTAGCTATTGATTAGTATTGGTCTTACTTTTCAAAGACAACTGTGGCCGGAGAAAAAGCTGATTTTTCTATCAGAATTATAGCGCAAAGGAACGGTCCCTTTGTCTATACACTTGATGATTTTTGTCTATTCTATGGATTAAAAAATCGAATATAAACTAAACTGTAGTATCTAATAGTTAAATGTAAATGTCATAATTTTATTTAAAAAAATTTAACTTTCTTTTTCCAACATAACACTATTTTAGTGGATTTAAAATTTTGTATTCTTCTCTGTGATAAGCTGAATAGAACGCGGCATGAAAAAAATACAAAAGTTGCGCGCATACGGGAACGGGATTATTAATTATGATAGTGTAGTTGATAATAAATTAGTTATCGAGTTATCAAACTACATATTTAGTTATTTATCATGATTTATCAATTCATCAAACCCTCCACCCCCCCCCCCCTTTGGACAAAGGGTGAAAAGGGGACATATAATTAGAAACTTATTCAAACAAACAGTTTATTATTAACTTTTTTGCAAAGAAAACCCATCAACAAAAATTGCAATCCTAGGGAATTTGCAAACCTTAGCATTTCCTGCATTTTTAATCAGTATTTTGCTAAATATAATTTGATTGATGTTTCTAGCTTGACTACCCCCTAGTAAACACTAATCTAACCTCACGTACAAAGAATGTGGTTTAACCACAATAAAATAAAACAATTAAATATTACATTAAAGGTTTTCAACATCATTGAATATTTGACTGAAATTCACAAGTTTTATTTAAACCTTTTAGAATCTATTTTGTCTGCTTTGAGTTTATCTTTTGAAAGAGACATATCAGTTTTATAACCTGCATTTTTTTCTTGATATTTCTCTATTCACTGACTTAAAAACATATTTAAAGATTTCAACATTTGTTTTTTCTTATCAATAGCTCCTCAAAAAAGAGTTGTGTTTAAAAACATACAATATTTAAATCTGAAATTAAATTTACTTTAAATTAATGTAAACTATACCTTATCGTACATTCTGAATGCCCATCTCAACTTTTCCTCTGGATCCCCTCTACTTGTCATATCTGTAGCAATCATAAACTCCTGAAATATAAACTCTCTACTTGACATACCTGTAGCAATCATAAAATCCTGAAATATAAACTCTCTACTTGACATATCATGATATCTGTAGCAATCATAAACTCCTAAAATATAAAACTCTCTACTTGACATATCTGTAGCAATCATAAACTCCTGAAATAAAAAACTCTCAACTTGACATATCCGTAGCAATCATAAACTCCTGAAATATAAAACTCTCTACTTGACATATCTGTAGCAATCATAAACTCCTGAAATATAAACTCTACTTGACATATCTGTAGCAATCATAAAATCCTGAAATATAAACTCTCTACTTGACATATCTGTAGCAATCATAAACTCCTGAAATATAAACTCTCTACTTGACATATCTGTAGCAATCATAAACTCCTGAAATATAAACTCTCTACTTGACATATCTGTAGCAATCATAAACTCCTGCAAAACAAAAAGATTAAATTAATAACTTGGAAACTAAAGGAAAATTTATTTTGTTGATAGTAAAAGTAGAAGTCTATAAAAACAAGTTAAATAAAACTCAGGGTCAATCGAATTTATTATTGCCATTGGAATAAAAGGGAAAATAAAAGGAGGAGGAGGGGGTAGAAGTTTGTATGAAACAACTAGCTAGTTAAAGGAGGAGGAGGGGGGAGGAGGTTTTTCCGAAACAACTAGCTAGTTAAAAGGGGGGGGGAGGAAGCTAACATAAATTCTCTTTTTATTCAAAAAAGAAAACTAGCTCCCGCGCATGTATTATGAAAACATGCACAAAGTTAATTGTAGCACATTCTAATATGCGACAACACAAAGTGTGTTAGTAATAACCCTCAGTTTTATTGAATACAGATATGCTATCACATGATAAATAATGTATTTTGTTTTTTCTTTTCTCTTGAACTGTTGCCTCACCAATACTTGAATATAAATGTATCATTAAATTTGGCGGGAAAAAAACAAAGGAAAAAAATGTATCCGTAACTTAACTGTTCTCTTAATTCCGTTTTTCAAAAATGAATGTACACGATATTGTTGTAAAATATTTCTATTTTTGTTACATGTAAACAATTTTGTAAAATTAACATAATCTCGACACGGAGATAATAAATATCTAGATCACAAAAAGTTTTTAGTTTTTTGCAAAGATTTTGGGATTTTTTATAGTTTGGTCACTAAAAAGAAAAAAACTTTCTTTAAATCAAGTTTTTATTTTTGAAAACTGACTTTTTTCAATTGAGTATTTTCTACAATAGTGACTTGCGCATTTTCAAGCTAGAAAAACTCATTATCCTCCACACTTTTGATCAGATACAGATGTCAAGGATTATGAATTGGATTTAAATGGAGAGTTACTTGAAATTATCTACGATCCTCTATAAAGTTAAAAAACTATTTCTTAGTCGGCTTGAAAAAAAAATGTTTGTATTCTTGAACCCAGTCCTACAATACAAGTACTTTATTCAGAAAACTGCAAATTCTGTTTTTTTTTGTAAATATCAAGCAAAGTTTTTCTATAGTTGCATGCCACAGAACATAAGCCAACAATATTTTCACGAGCTGTCTATAAATGAATAATGTTTCAATATTGTTTTAAAGTAGAAAACAGGGACTTAATCAAGGTTTAGACTAAGGACATAAGTTGCAAAAATGTAAATAAAAAACTTTTAAAATTTACGAAAATTGAAAATGTAAAGTTTTCAAATTTAAATGCTTTAGATTAAGCTTAGAAAGAATTTAAAACTTTAAGATGCGGCCTAATGTTCCAGCCCCCTCTGCCCCCCGGCCCCCCCCCTAATTTCTAAAAAGGGAAAAGGGAATCTAAAACTTGCATGAAATTAGTATTTTAGGGTTTTAGAGACCACAGGGTTATCTACAAGGCTATATATTTTTCTATACAAAGGCTGATTGCCTTACACTTTAAGTTAATTTGAGTCTTTTTTGAAAACAAATCGTATCGTTAATGAACGGCAGTTATTAAAAATTAACGGAAAACTCCGTAAAGGAACGGGAATTCGCCCGTCAATTCTTATATTGCTATTTAACGAACGAAATCAATCATTCATGAAAAGCTATGAACGGAAGATTAAAGGAACGAACAAATGCTTTTTAAGATCAACTCGAATTTTGGTAACTATTTGGAGTTTATATCTTAAAGGTAACCCTGTAGGCTGGAACTCACAAGATTTTAATTGTTGCTACACCCCTCCATCCCCCTTCCCCCTCCCCTTCNCAAAAACCTCTAGTTTGAAAGTATTTACATTTTCTAATTTCGAAAAAAAGGCATTTAATAATCTGAAAAGTGTAAAGAAAATGTACAAAAACTAGCTTTTAAAACCTTCAATACCATTTTCTTTCTAAAAAAACATAAAATTTTCGCTCAAAAAGAAGGCATTTTATACAAACACAGTGGTTGGTAGCAAGGATGAAAGGCTAGTGGTTGGTAGCTAGGAGGTCAAGCTAGTGGTTGGTAGCAAGGAGGTAAGGCTAGTGGTTGGTAGCTAGGAGGTCACTTGGTTGGTAGCTAGGAGGTCAGGCTAGTGGTTGGTAGCTAGGAGGTTAGGCTAGTGGTTGGTAGCAAGGAGGTCAGGTTAAAACAAAACAAAAATCTAAACATCAAAATAACCAAGGGTCGAGAAGATTGGTCTTATAATAAAAGTTATCTGAAAGTAAAAAAAAGATCAGACAAAATTTAAAAAATTTAAAGATCTGATATTTGAATTATGTCTGGATCTAATTGAACACTATAAAATCATTTCAGGTACCGGACCGGCTTTTAATCTGTTTAGTACACATACAAACCATGTAAGGCAGAATAGGCCGGTACACCAAATGAATCAGCCCCTTATTTATGTCTAAAGTAAGGTTTGCGAGGGATCAATCATCCCTTGTCATGGCAAAATGTAACCTCAAAAATATGATTTTTTGTAATTGCAATAATGTCAAAAAATAAATTAACCGTAATGAAAATGAATTTTGCAAAATATTTATCAAGAATTAGACACTGCAAAACTTTGCAGGACTAAGAGTGACTTTTAGAAAAATAATTGTTGAAAAACAGTTTTTAAATGTTTAATCTTGTTTTCCTCAAAACAGCCATTTTCATTTTACTAGAATGAGTGGTTGGGCACTGGGGGTGTATGGGGGATTATCCAAAAACATATCTTTAATTTTCTTAAGTATAAATATAAAAACATATCTTTAATTTTCTACGTACAAATATAAAAACATATCTTTAATTTTCTACGTACAAATATAAAAACATATCTTTAATTTTCTACGTACAAATATAAAAACATATCTTTAATTTTCTTATGTATAAATATAAAAACATATCTTTAATTTTCTACGTATAAATATAAAAACATATCTTTAATTTTCTACGTATAAACATAAAAACATATCTTTAATTTTCTTACGTACAAATATAAAAACATATCTTTAATTTTCTTACGTATAAATATAAAAACATATCTTTAATTTTCTAGGTATAAATATAAAAACACATCTTTAATTTTCTTACGTACAAATATGAAAACACATCTTTAATTTTCTTACGTACAAATATGAAAACATATCTTTAATTTTCTTACGTATAAATATAAAAACATATCTTTAATTTTCTACGTACAAATATGAAAACATATCTTTAATTTTCTACGTACAAATATAAAAACATAACTTTTATACTACGTGAACATTTAATCACAACTACTTATTTTAGTAACAAGTTACAATTAACTTTTTATAACACTGTTATTTTCGCACGACTTGCTGTAAAATTTTTGGACAAAATATTCTCTTTTATCGAGAAGGTTCAGGCCTTTATAGATTATATTTTGTCCCGAGCTTTAGCAAAACGTAATAAACTTTGCTTTACAGTAATTGGTAGTGTACTTTTAACCTTGCGCTATTTAAATTAAATTAAATCTAAAAAACTAATATTTAAAAATCATATTTTTAAAAAATTTGAAATTTTAAACTTTTTTTAAAATTTTGACTCATTGTTTTTATTCAACTAAAGCTATAAACTTTTGAATTTTCAATCTAAGAATTTTTTATTCAACTAAATTCCTAGTTTAAAATATATATGGTCTACCTGCACATTGGGTCGCAAAGATATACAGATTAGAAAATCAAAGTTTGTGGCAAAGACTCAATATTTTGAGTTAGCATTATTTTTCCCAATTATGATGAAGAAACGTGGAAATGGGATGTGACCATGCACGTGGGCATCGTTTGTAAACAAGAATAATTAAGGTTTCCTTGTTTCAAGGTTTGAAAAACATCATGTGGAAAATTGTTTTTCATAAGTTCAAAGGAAAATTTTTTCAAAATATTATTTTTTAACTTTCACAAATTAATTTTGAAGCAAAAAGAGATTCTGAGTTAAAACTGATTTGTAAATTTTTATTGATTTAATTTAATAAATTGTTAAATTTTTGGATAAAAATTTATTACGCACTAAAATGCTTTTATACACCTACAATTTAAGGCTCACACAGAGATACACATTTTGAAAGCTTCAAATTAGCATTAATAAAATTAGAAATTACCCAGAATTAGATATTCATTTTTTTTGTTTATTTTCATAAGAAACAATGGATAAATTCACAGAAATAAACACTTGAGATTACGCTTACAGTACGTACCTTTAACCCCTGTTTCACCCAAAGACATTCTAGAGAGTCTTTGGTTTCCCCTCTCTTTTGTTACCTTAAAATCGATACTTCCATCTCCATCCTTATCAAATATTCTGAAGAGCTGATCCAGAAACTGTTCTCCAGACTTACCCTAAACGCATGGACTTATGAAAAATACTGCTTCAATGCAGTATTAGTGCTTTTTATCGTTAGTTTTGTATTTGTACTCCAAAATATTTTGTTCGTACAGAAACCAGAATTCAGAATTAAGTCAGATCTTTTGTGTTGTGAATCTCGGAATCAAACATTGATCTCCATCTTATGCAGATCTACGGATATATCTAATTCCCGTGGTAGTCATATCCTGCAAGGATCTAGGGTTTAAGATTAACGATACTCCACGCAAAAGTTCCGGACTCTGGTTCTGTTAAAAACTTTAACCCGATTTAAACAATTTAACATAAATCCTGGGATTGTATCATCACGTATGATATATCCTCATATATGGTAGCTCTGTATACAATATATCTATATATATAAAGTTGCAATCTCTGTTTGGATGTCTGTCTGTTTGTTTGTTTATCCGATCATAACTCAGGAACCCCTGGACCTATTTACCTCATATGTTTGGCTTTAAGCTTGGTTTTGAGATTATAAGTTGATTGGGTCGACTTTTAACGTGAAAATAGATAAATTGTAATTTACGAGTGCGGGTAAACGGCGGGAGCAACTATAGAGTACCTAGGTCAACGCTGGGTTCCCAAGCTAGTTCATTGTATTCTCATATATTGTAGCTCTGCATGTAGTATGTTCTCTGAACAATATATTCAAACTGTGTAATGATTTACTGCCCATGTTCATTCAAATACATTCTTTCATTTCGTTTCTAAAGTCTATGGCCAAAAGGGAAGGGGGTATCACTTGCCACAAACTCCAATTTGGAATTTTTTAACCTGTTTTTACACATGATAAAACGTTCAAAACTTTACTCATGTCTGAATTTTAATCATTTATAAATGAAAGTTTAAAATAAAAAAATAAAGTAATCAATAAAAAGTTTGAAATTGATTTAATGAAAATATTTCTCATATTTATTTTTATAAAAAAAATACAATTCAAAGAATTGATTCAAAATATGATTTCTTCGGACTTTTATAATTTTTTTTTATAATTTTTTATAATAAGACTGTAATTATAAAATTAAAGCTTATTAAATATAAGTATTATATTTTTTTAAAAATCTAAATTTTCTTCTTTAATTCTTTTTTTTTTAATATTATACCATACCTTTGTATACTTTTTATCACTAACTAAACTGAGATACCAAAATTTTTTAAGAAAACAAAACTATTTTTTGTTAGTTTAAGTTTGTTTATTTAATACTAAAACTAAGACTTACCTAAACACTAATTACAACAATTAAAATACTTTTAACTATATTTTTTATTTAAATATTTATTTAATTGATCTAACCTCGCCATCAGCATCCTGACAAATAATTTTAAAATATAAAATAAATACGTTAAAGTAATAAGGAGAATATTATTTTTTTTATCTCTCTATGACACTTTTGATCTAATATGAGACTTCAGAGACAATCCAAAATCTATACTGTTTATTTCCTTATATTTAGGATTCTGAGCATCTGTAAACTGGTTTACTGTTTATTTCCTTATATTTAGGATTCTGAGGAACTGTAAACTGGTTTACTGTTTATTTCCTTATATTTAGGATTCTGAGGAACTGTAAACTGGTTTACTGTTTATTTCCTTATATTTAGGATTCTGAGCAACTGTAAACTGGTTTACTGTTTATTTCCTTATATTTAGGATTCTGACCAACTGTAAACTGGTTTCTTCCGTTGCCATGACAATAAATATGCTGTCAAAAGAAAATATTCACTGCAGAAGACTTAATTAAACCTTGAAATCGTCATATTTAATGAGTTTCAGGTCGTCTTTTCAATCTCATCCTTTGTGGTTAACCCTGTAGCTTAGAATCTTTGCAGTTTTATATGTGAAATGAATAATTAATTTTAGATGTAAATTCTATTCTTCAATCAGTGAAACTCAAGTATTTTATCATAATAATCACTATATCTTTGGAACCTGATGGTGTATACTTATAATATATCAAATTAGAATAATTGATCTGACAGAATTCACAGTTTTACTTATTAAAAGGTCTACGATATCAGGTTGCACAGATAGGGATAAAAAATGTCCTCCCTGGAACGACTTTGTGACTTTTGTTTGACGTGAGAATTTATTCAAATTTATTCAACATTCAACGTTTTTGTTCTATAATTTGAATTCTATGTACATATGTCAGAAAAACTAATTTATACAGTTAAATATTATAATTTATAATAAGACGAGTTATGATTAAAAACATGGAAGTTTAGTTTAACATTGTCAAGGTTGTTAAACAAGGTAGAACCCTGCAACAGAAATTAAAGATTTCGGACATTATCTCTTCGCGTTAAACTAAAGTGAATTACATGCTAGATTAAAATATTATATGTTTCAAATCATATTCATACCTCGTTTTATTTCAAAACTATTGAAAAGAACAAAAATGTTTTAAATTTTTAATATTTAACCGGAGGCCGAATTTAAGACGCGACTCAAATTCACTAAATTCGGACACGGATAACTTTGCTGTCATCACGTCCGTAAAATCGAAGCTACAGGAGCTAAGAAGTCACAAATTCATACCAGTCATATCTTATAAATTCTCCTTCTGTCTAGTTCAGTGTGTTTTTGGAGGGAAAAAATGAAACAAGATGAAAAGTTTAAAATAACAAGGAACAAAGTGTTTCAAAGTTTCAAGTCTAAATTGAGAAAAAGAAAGATTTTTATTGAAAACTTAAATACAAAATAGATAAAGATAAAATTCCAGACGAAAAGAGGAAAGAATAAAATGGAGAAAATAGAAAATAAAAGAAAGTTATGACAAAATTAGACAAAGGATAAGATATAATGAAAATAATAAGAAATTAGAGACCTTGGACAAATGGTAATTAAAGATGACAGAAATAAAAATTTGGAAAGGAATTGAAGGACTTGTAAATTAGACTAAACACACGTTGTCGTAGAAAAATGAAGTAATAGAAGTAAATTTCTCAGTAAAATACAAAAGACGAAAAAAACTTCAAATAAAAAATAAGAAAAATGGACTAAAAATATATATAAATTTGTTAAGAGGGGTAAGTGCAAAAAAAGCGTCAAAAAACATATCAGTGAATTATCTTCAATTATCAATTATCAAATTATCGTCAAGTCCAAGAAAAAAGCAGAAAAGGTGAAAAAATTTTAAATCTACAAATCTACAAATCAATATGTGTTAGGTACTTTCCCAAAGGCACTTTCCCAAGGATGACTTCCCAAGTGACAATTTCCCAAGTGACAACTTCCCAAATGTGAACTTTCCCAAGCAATATCTTCCCAAAAGTTTAGGTTAGGCCCTCTGAGTCGCCGCAGGCTGCGATGAGGGGGGGGGCTGAGCGCTGCGGCTAGGATGGGCTAGGGGCCGAACTGCCGAGACTAGAACTGACTGGGGGCCATAGCGCCGAGGCTAGGACAAACTTGGGAAGTTGCCGCTTTGGAAATTGCACATTTGGGAATTTACCACTTGGGAAAATACCTTGGGAAATTCGCACTTGGTAAAATCCTTTGGAAAAGTACCTAACATCTAGATTAATTGAAATAAAATTTTCTGACTAAACAGAAAACACTTAACGATTCCCGGACCGTTCAAAGAATGGAAAATCTCAATAATTTTTATTTGAAAAAAATACCTGAGGAGTTATGGCATTAAACATTTCCTTCATTTTATCCCTGTTCATTCGACCATCCGGGCAATCATCCAGGAATCCCTAAATATAAAAGTTTTAACAAAAATTCACGAATGAGGAAGATTTTGTCGTTTTTTATTACAAAAAAAATATATTCTCTTAATTTCTTTAATTTCACAGCTTAGAAATTATTGAAAACTAAAATTTCAGATCATTTTTGACCAAAGAAAGGTTTACAGGACTCCTTTTAGACTTAGACATGTACGGATGTAATTCTTTCATCTTATAATCATTTAAAATTACATCGACGGTCCATGGACAGAAAGATTAGTTTAAAATATATATTTTTTAAACAAACGACGCCAAGTAAAACGCTCTTGATTCCTTTTTATTACAAATGTTTATCCAAATTTCGGAACTTTTGTGTTATAATCTTATAGGCCCGATTCCTTGATCTCAATATCCACCTTGGGCACTTTCCAATCTTCGTTCTTCCTCCACTGGGTACGCGACGGTTACCATGCGGGATGGATATCGATAAAATAATAAAAAAAAAGATCTCGATCAAGCATTGATCTCGATATAAACAATATAAGAGTTACCAGCTTAAATAGTACTAGAACCAATGAGAGGAAGACAGGTTTGCATGTTCACGTTTTATTATGTCGTATTAGGAAAGTTCTAGAAATAGTTTTATTGTAAACAATCGAAGCTTTTGAATACATGATTAAGAATTACTGGGTACCGCGCCGGAGGGCCGTGTCTGAGCAATTATAATTGTTTGTTTACAATCATATATACTGGTTCCATGATATTCCTATCACGTCAATGGTTTTGTTAATCCTTACCTTATGCCACTCCACAATATTGGCGGGGGAGAAATGTGTGTTTTTCGACAACCAGTCCAAATCTGCAAATCATTGGAAAAAATTGAAAACATGTTTTTAAAAACAAATATTTAACTTATTAGTTTTAAAATAGCCGCAAGAAATCAATGAAAATGAACCATTTTAAAATATTTAAATAATTATTTCTATTTTATGTTTCCATAAATTTAATGTTAATTAATTCCCTCCATGACGGTTCATGGGGTAAGATCCCATTTTAACCAAATTTGGTAAGAACGAATTAATAAATTGATCTCAGCACAAAAACATTGGATAGAATTAATAATAATCTCAGGAATAGTTTAGTTTTTCTATACTATATATGAGAATGGGGGGGGGGTCCGAATTTTTAAAATGATTTTTTTCAGAAACATTTCAAAGTGATATTTTGGCTTTTTTCTGTTTTCAGGCTGAGGCTCATAAGTCTTGTCTTAATCTTTTCATAATTTAATTCTAATTATACAATTTTCTCTTTTATATTTATATCTGCTCCCTTAACTTACCAGTTTTTGGTAGATTTTTGGCAGATTTTGTGCCAGTTTTCTTCTTAAACCGCTTTCCGGACATTTTTGACATTGTTGATTGATTTAGATTTTTTCTGTATTTACAAGACTATAAACTTTGTAAAACCAATAAATGAACTTGCTTTTTTTGGTGTGTATAATAAATGTAATGATGTTGTATGCAGGAGTACAATAAAAGGTATTCAGCATAAACTTTATGATCTCAGTTAATTTATTGTTTACATTTACGACTATAGGCAAGTTGGTATTTTTTATCTGTTTGCTAAAATAGGGTAAAACGACCCAGACTTAAACAACATGTGGTGAAACGAAAAACTGTCAAAAACGCAACAAATGGTCAAATGGAGAAAAAAAAACCGTTATATGTCATTTCTGGGTTAGGTTAGGTTAAGACAATTTCTGGGCTGAGCGATGCGGCTAGACAGGCTAGGGGGCCGAGCACTGCGGCTAGCAGTTCAAACGAACATAAAACATAGCATAAAAATATGTATAATATAAGGGTAAGGTTAGGTTAAGACAATTTCTAGGCTGATCGCTGCAGCTAGGACAGGCTAGGTGGCCGAGCATTGCGGCTACTAGTTCTAATCAACATAAAAATAGTTCAAATTAACCAAAAAAAAAGTCTAAATGAAATTTTGCCTGTTTGTTGCCCTTTTTGACCCTATGTCGTTTTACCCTCTGTTGTCGTTTGAACCTATGGCATTTGACCCATATGTCGATTGACCCTTTGTCGGTGAATCTTTCTTACAGTGTTGTGCTAAAGCCCAACTTTTTGTACAGCGTTAGAAAATCAGTTTTACAAAAAAATATCTTCTATGCAAGAGTTTTCTAATTGTAAATGATAAACTTTAGTTAAAAGGAATTGATTTTCTGCATTGCATGATTCAAACAATCTGTCATGAAATAAAAATTAACCAACCAAAGCCCAAGAACAATCAAAAATGAATTTTAAATTTAATATAGTTTTTTTTTTTAAATTCGTTTCTTACGATGCCTTAAAAGTTTATTTTTTCATTTTGAAGTTTTATTTTCGCTGTTTTAGGGTGACGTCAGGTTGTGAACTGTTTACTCCTGACCAACTCCTGACTATTATTCCTGATAGATATTAGTTCCCCTGAATAGGTATTTACCCCGCCAATGGTAAATAAGAACTGAATTCTAAACTATTCAGAAGTCATGAAATATCCACCAGTTTTTTAATAATCCCCAGGGAGGGCGCTGCAGGTCAAGGAGGTCAGACGAGTAAATGAGGTCAGGGAGGTCAAGGAGGTCAAGGTGGTCACAGAGGTCAGACAAGTAAAGGAGGTCAAGGAGGTCAGGGAGGTCAGGGAGATCAAGGAGGTCAAGGTGGTAAAGGAGGTCAAGGAGGTCAAGGAGGTCAAGGAGGTCAAGGAGGTCAAGGAGGTCAAGGAGGTCAAGGAGGTCAAGGTGGTCAAGGAGGTAATGGAGGTGAAGGATTTTAAGGAGGTCAAAGGTGTCAAGGAGATCAAGGAGGACCAAGGAGGTCAAGAAGATCAAGGATATCATGGTGTTCAAGGATGTCAGGGAGGTCAGACAAAAAGGAGGTCAAGGAGGTCTGGGAGGTCGGTCAAGCAAAAGAGGTCAAGGAGGTCAAGGTGATCAAGGGGTTTCTGAAGGTCAGGCAAATAAAAGATGTCAAGGAAGCTACAGAAATCAGCCATGAAGTCATGGATGCAGAAAAAAGAATAAAATAAAATTTCCAAATGTCATTAAATAAATATTTGAAATCATAGGAAAAATATTTTAACATAAAAAGATTATCTATACCGAAATATCCTAATAAAAATCATAACAAATTTTCCTTAAAGAGAGTGACCGGCAATGTATGGTAGTTGAACAGAAAATGTAGTATAGTGGAGCAAATTTTAGCAATCATTTGAGAACTACAAAAAGGGTGCATATTTGTTCAGCAAGTAATCTTATTGAGTTATTGGTTTCTGTAATTCTCATAGTTCATAAACATTTCCTGTAGATTTCCTTAAATTTGTATTGAAAAGACGACATTTGAAGAATTCGAATAAATCTGCGATGAAATTCACAAAGAATAAGAAATTCAACATGATAATGAAAAAGAAATAATTAATTCTGACATTGATTTATTGGTACTAATGTAGATTTTTTTTTCAATTTTTGTCATCGTTATTTAATAATCTTTTAGAAATCGATTCTCACAACGTATCCACGTCGACTTTGCGCTCAAACTCAGTAATTTTACATCATTAAAACATTTAATGTGTCTCAAATGAATTCTAAAAAATTTCTCTACAATACTACATACTCAGTTAAACTACCATACATTGCCGGTCAAACCTTTAAAAAAATCTAAATTCACAAGTACACAGTATTTGTGTGCATAACTCTTTTGAAAGTCAAAAAACCTTAAAAGTTCTCTGAAGACTAACCAATATTACGAAGTGCACTTTGCTCCCAATTTAAAAATGCAGATGTAATTATATCCTATTTTGATTAATGTAACATAAGTTTATGATTTATGATGACAATGTTTTAATAAAAGTTTTTTAATCACAAAACTTTGCACGTTGTTATTATAGTTCCTGTGATTATGGTTTTTAATATGTCTTACTTATGAATATAAAAGATATAAAATGAAAAAAACATTCAAATATTGTTTCCGTGCTTTTGAGACTGTTTTTGTGTATTTCTATTTCTAATAATTTTACTGTTCATATAATTTTTAAAATTTATGTTGTAATTTGTAATATATTAATCATGGAACATGGAGGCAAGCAATTATGTTTTAAATAAACTATAAATAATGTTTTCCTTTCCTTACTTTTCCCTTCACTATTCACCCCACTATATAATTACTTTTCCCCACTTTTTGATTCCTTTTTTTTCATTTTTTAAATTAGTTTGTGCTTTGTGTTATGTATTAGTTATTTGTTAATTTCAAAAAATAAAATGTATGTACTTTGGAGGGCCAGCCAATCAAAACAACCGGGAATGGTTAGGCTGTAGCCCTGGCCAGTCACGCAAATCTGCCCCTTTAGTAAAAGTAAATTTAACCTATATGAAGCATAAAGTCTGACCGCGTCAACCTTGTTGCACCGGCTAGTCCTGTCCATAGAGCTAGGTACAGTACATACTGGGACCGGAAAGGTTGACCCGGCTCTGTAATTCAAATGTACTACGGCTATCCGTGCAGTTATCATTTATTGATGAAAGATAAAATTCAAAATGTATCTATTTATTGTGATTTTAGCCAAAATATATCTATCTATCTTATTCAAAGACGTTAACAAGTTTATTAAGACACTTAAGCATGGGAACCCAGCTTTGATTGGAATAATACAGGTCCCCTCAACACCGATTCAAATTAAAAACCGTCAAGTTGGCGGTAATATATTGAAAGACGATCTTTAACAATAGATTAAATTCAAAGTTGTTTAAACCAAGAAAAGAACATATTCATGTGATCTATCGAGATTCGAGATCCTTAATAAATTATTTGATTAATTATTTTCCCGTCAAATAGTCTTATAGTTATAGGATCCTGTCCTTATAGTTATAGGATCCTGTCCTTATAGTTATAGGATCCTGTCCTTAAGATTTTAGATTAGGGGTTTTGGCCACCTTCTATCTGATTTTGGTTGGTTAATTTGAGTTTTATCATCTTGTGTTTTTTTTATTTACGTCCTTTATTAATGAAGTATGATATTTTGATATTTTGTAAGAGCCAGTTTTTTATTTGATTTCAGCCAATTTTGTTGTTTTCCTTCTTTGCTCCAATAAATAAAAGCAATTTACTTTCCTCGTACTAATTTATACTTGTAATGTTTCTGAATTTAAAGAGATACTTCAACAAACTTTATAAAATAGACTTATTAGTGATATGTATACATTAATGTTTCTGTATTTAAAGAGATAATTCAACAAACTTTATAAATAGACTTGTTACTGTGGTTAGTATACTATGGAATCAGTGTATATTCAACAAAATACAGTTTTTCAAATATATCTTAAATCCATAGAAAGATATTGATTAGGAAGAAAAATTTTGTTTTCTTTTTGTGCTAATCTAAACATCTTTAATTCTCAAACTCTAAAAGTAAATTTAAAATTGGAACCGAATTTAATGAATTAGAGAGGTTCCTGAACTACCTAACCCTGGTTCAAATCCCGAATCAAAGATTCAAATCCCCATGAATCTTGAATGGGTGTTTCAGGGTTTTAACCGGCGATGGAAGGAAGTTCTTCGCGACCACTCGCAATTCATTCAATTCCGTCCGCGGTACATTTAAACAAAGTCAGCAGAACGTAATATTCGATATAATTTTATCTACTGATATGAACTAAAGCATACTAACATTTAAAAATTACTTTAACATAACAATGGCATCTGTTTTAGTAACTTTGGGAGTTCAATTCGAAATGAATATTTAATTTTAAAATATTTTTAGTAAAAATTAATAATGAATGAATTTTGACTTTGTGAATAGATGAAAAGGATTCAGAACAATTTTGTAAAATTATTTAAACAAGTTCATTAAACCTGAAGGAGTAAACATTTATGGAATTAATTAAACCAATATTTAATATTTACGGGATCAAGTCAAAAAGACATTTTTTGTTTCCACATTATCATAAAAAAATATTACATAATGTTTAATTTTTGTGTGAATTTTTGCGACTTTTTTTTAAACCTTCAGTCAAGCAACTTTTAAATTATTAACACAAACATTAAAAAACATTTTCAGTTTTCATCTCTTTTTAGGCAGAGGTTAACATATAACCTCAATTTATATCGTAAACATGCATTTAAACGTTAAAAGGGACTGTATGCAGAACTTCATGTCAAATTGATAATGCCCGGGTCATTGAAACCTTTATCTGTTCATAATGTGGAAGATATTGTCGTTTTTCTAGGTTTGAAAATGTTTAATTATGTAAAATCCTGTGTGTTTTTTGCAATAGAAACGCGCAAGTCATTGTATAGAAACCCAATTGAAAGGAAAAAAATAGTTTTTCAAATGATAAACAACGGATATATATAAATCATACTTGATCAGACAAACGTCATTAGGGTAACGTTGTGAATCGTGCATTGACATCTTTGGATTGATCGAGGGTAACTCAAAATTGCGACTTCAGTACTTTTAATGATGATAAATGCAGCAGTTTATCAAGGTATTTTATTCCCCGAGCCTAAAATAGACCAATTCGGATTGAAAATATTTACAAACTATAGAAACAGAGTGTCCCAATAAAAATTGAAAACCATGGATATCCAAAATATGGTTTTATTTTTAACTGTCACGAAAAAAACTAAAAAATACAAATTTTGTCCATGTTTTATTTTTTGAAAATTTACCAAAAATATGCTAAAAATATCTCAGATTTTTTTTTAGATAAACAATTCTATCAAAAGTTAAAGACAGTCACAATTTTTTTTGTTAGTTACAATTCTTTTGTTTAGTGACACCCTGTATCTTAAACCTCGAGATAGCACGAAAGGTCCAAAAGTAAAGAGGGCTGGGGAGGCCGGAGGGGGGCTGAATATTGGAGGACCATTTGTAAACGAGATATAATCTTTAACACCAAAATAAACCCTTAATACTCGAAAAACTTATCATTTTCCGCAAGAAAATTCTTATATAAGCCTTATATTATTTTTCAAAATGATTCATTCTAATTAAATTTTCTAATTAGTCCCGAAAATCGTAATAAAGACCCGTTCTCGGTCTAATATGATGTGGGACACCCTGTATTAGAACGATAATCTTCCTATTAAAATATATTAGAACTATAATATCTTCCTATTAAAATCCCAATTACGTCTTCGCAGCCACTTGCTCTTTTATAATAGGGGGCACTTCCCCCTCCCCCCCCTCCTAAGTGAGACTTGCCTACATGCTTTTTTACTTCACATCCGACGGAAATTTCTTGCAAATTTGAATAGAAAAATTTGCAAAAACCTTACATGTTAAGCACATTATTTTTCTCATGAATATCGTCTATTCATTATAAAACTTTTTTTACATTATAAACGTAAAATTATAGTTTTCATCTTTAATTTTTATCATTAATTTTTCTTTTATTTTTTTTTCATCCCTGTTCTTATCTGCTTTCTGACTTTCCTAACTGCACGCGCGCCCAAGAAGCCTAATACGTGCGTGCGGGAAAGCTGGATCGCATCCTTCTATTGGTTGAAGCTACACGGCTCATCGACCAATCAGAGAGCAGTATGCGTGCCTGATTCAGGAGCCATCTTGAATTTCTTTCAAAACACCGCATTATCTCTCTCCTGCGACACTTAGATTTCAGATCCTCAGATTTTCTTCAGGTAATGTTGTTAAAAGTAATTGTACTTGATTCAGACTTTAAATCGATTGATTAAGTTCCCTTGATTGGTCCTTAGATCAATTGGGTTTTAATCGATCGTAGAATAAAATTTCTAATCTTCACCCAGAAAGTTGGTTTCTAAGCTAGGCTGGTTTTAATTAGTAAACAGAATCATAACTAAAGTTTGAAATATTTAAATTTTAGTATTTTAAGAGCGGGGTTCAGTTTTCTGTTAAGTAATTATTAGAGATCCGAATAAGACGTATAATTATTAGTTGTTGTGAAAAGAATTAATATAATTTAGAAGGTTTCAGTCATAGAAATAAAAATATCGATCCCTTCACAAATAAAGTTCCACATTTCCAAACTATTTAGTTTAACAGTTTACTTCTATTTGAATTTGCAAGTTATATTAAAAAGTAAACTAAGTAAATGTATCCTCTCTGGTAAGTTGTATAAAAAGTAAACTAAGTAAATGTATCCTCTCTGGTAAGTTGTATAAAAAAGTAAATGACTTGGAAGAGTTTGAACAAACATTTTAAAATTTATAAAACTTATCAGATTTTTGCAGATTATAAGTCCGAAAACCTTGAAAGCGTAATTAAAGAAACGAACCAATTCATTTTTCATAACTTATTTCTTAGTAAACTTGTTTTAAGCGTCAGCTATTGGTTTATAATTTTTTTTTCTTCCATGAAGAGACCCCTTAAAAAGTTTAACAAATTTTAAATTTATATATTTTCTACGAGTTTGTTTTGAAACATTTGAAATTGGTGCTATCTTATTAAACTAGTTTTCTAATATAAATAAATATGTATATTTTTCTACATTAACTAAGTTTTATCAGCTCTATTTCTTAAGGAAGAAAATACTAAGGATGAGTTTTAATATGTAAAAGCTAGTTTAGTTAATCTTGTTATTTTGCAGTGGTAAGACAAGAATAGAGAAGTAACCATGCCAAGAGTAGAAGATTCAGAAAAGAAGTTGTTCGTTGGAGGACTTAATTATGATACGGAAGATAAGACGCTTAGGGAGTACTTTGAAAGGTTCGGCCCCCTCACAGATTATGTAGTCATGAGGTTCCCAGACTCCAAGAGGTCTAGGGGGTTTGGGTTTGTTACCTATGAAAGATTGGATAGTCTAGAGCACTGTATGGGTTCCCAGCCCCATTCTATAGATGGTAGGAATATAGAGCTCAAAAGAGCAACCCCTAGGGATGAATCTTCAGGAGGGGGTGGTGGAGACAGGAAGTATGGTAGGAAACGTGCGTTTGGAGACGATGACGATGTTGATGACCCAGAGAGCAAACTCATGAGGAAGCTGTTTATCGGAGGATTGAGTTACAACACCAGTGAGGATAGTATGAAGGCCTACTTTGGAAAGTACGGAACCATTGAGGATTCTGTTATCATGAAATTTCCGGATTCCGGAAGATCCCGTGGTTTCGGATTCATCACGTACGCGAAATCTTACATGGTGGATGATTGCCAGCGAGCCCGACCTCATGAGATCGATGGTAAGACTGTAGAATGCAAGCGTGCCACACCAAGGTCGGAGGCTAAAAATCCTGAGGCCCAGGCCTCCGTCAAGAAACTGTTTGTCGGAAACCTTATCGAAGAGATGACAGACGCTGACCTGAGGGACTATTTCAGCAAGTTTGGTGAGATCACCAACGTTGAGCAGATGAAGTGGAATGATACCGGTAAGAAACGTGGATTCGGATTTATTGAATTCGACGATGTCGACGCTGTCGACAAGATTTGTCTGATTGGACGACATACTCTTCTCGGGAAACGATTGGAAGTGAGGAAAGCTTTGAGCAAACAAGAGATGGCCATCATTAAGAAGGCCAAGATGAGCGATGATTGGAACAGAGGGGGTTCAGATTTCAATAATATGGGAGGTGGTATGAGGGGGAGTATGGGAGGAGGAGGTGGTGGAATGGGAGGCGGACATGGTATGGGAGGAGGTATGGGAGGGGGCATGGGCGGTGGTATGGGAATGGGAGGAGGCATGGGTGGAAATATGGGAGGCGGTATGGGTGGCAATATGGGAGGAGGTATGGGCGGTGATATGGGAGGTAACAACCAAGGAGGAATGGGAGGCATGAACCCCATGATGATGATGAACATGATGATGACCATGATGAACCAAATGTCTGGCGGAGCCGGAGGAAACATGGGCGGAGGAGCCGGAAATATGGGCGGAAGTTCAGCAGATGATGGAAAAAAAGATTCTGTGCCCGTGAAACCTGAAAGAGGATTTGGCAGTGCTGGCTCCACTGGAGCCACATCTGCTTCATCATACGGAGCTGGTTACAACAGCAGCTCCGGATACAGCGGAACCGGATCCGGATACAGCGGAAGCTCTGGGTACGGATCAAGCGGATACTCTGGAGATGCTTCCGCCAACATGATGGCGAATATGGCCAATATGATGGGCATGAACTGGGGAGGAAGTGGCGAAAGCTGGGGTGCAGGCGGAGCCAGCAACGGCGGAGGCCCAGTCCGAGGCGGAGGCTCCTCCAGCCGGGATTCATCAGCTCCTTACTCCAGACGTTAATTTCGCGCATTTTTTAAAATTCTTTTTTTGTATTTGAGACCTTGTAATAAGTGTGTATAACTCGTTAGATAACAAGAAATTTAACTAAATCAATGGTTCATTATTTCTCTTTTTCAGAAAACAAAATACTAACATTAGTGGATAAGTATGTAAGATGAAAACTTATTAGAAGTAAATAGCTAATCTAACTAGACGAAAGGAAAGAATAGTAGAAGGAGGAAGGACGAGGAAAGGGGAAACTGAACTAAGAATAAGAAGTGCATATAAGGTGAGAAAAAGGTTTGATTGTATTGACAAGTTTTAAGGTAGGTCAGAGAATTGAAATTTTATGAAAAACAAGCCTAAGTAGCGTACTGTGTTAGTTGTTAAAAAGTAATTAGATTTTAAAGACGTAGATGGTAGACTGTTCGTGCTATTTCAAGTGACCCTCCATGGAAAGATTGCAATGTCTGCTTTACAACGGCACCCTGTAAACCTTAAATAATGCGTTAGCTTGCACGTCGGTCTCCTAGGTTTAAAAGTTTTTAATTCTGATGATTCTTTCATGTGTCCCTGCAGTAGGATGCGCAATAGTGGTATAAAATCTAGTGAAACTTTTCTAAAATCATTTTACAGAAGCAAAATAGTATTCCTCTAAGAATTGTAAGGCATGTTTATCAAATACATATTTCACAAAGTTCAATATAGTGCCCCTCAAATGGGGTTTAATGATAAAAAATCACTAGTTTTTGCGAAAATGAAAAATTTGACAATGGGTATCCATTGAACCAGCTTGATTTACAACTATCAGAATTGAAAAATATTGAAAATTGGGCAAGTTATGGTCAAAAATAATTTTTTCTTTGAATAAATTTTATTATAGTACTAAAAAAATGTCTTTTTTGACCTTACTCAGTCAAATTTCAATATTTTTCGATTATGAAATTCAATTCGGTTCCAATAATACCCCATTCAATAAGTATTTCTAAATTTTCATTTTCACATTTACTAGTGACTTATTAAATTGAGGGGCACATCTTTGATTTTTGTGAAAAATATATTTTATTCCTAGAAGAATACTTTTTTCTTCTTTAAAATTGTCTCAGAAAAATTTCACAGCCTCTATGCAGAGAAACTAAAATTAAAATAATAATTTTTCAAGTTATAAACATCGATATCTAAGTCATTCTTGTTCAGACAAAGCACTCAAGGGTACCATTCGGGGTCGCTTGACTTTACAAATAATTTATGGTCTGTAGTCATGAATATGATCTCTAATATTATTTATCAGCACGCCAGAACCGAAATAAAGATTTCCTTAAAACATGCCATGTAAAAATGTTAATATATTTTCAAGGGGTGATTTTTCAAAAAGCAATTGTATATTTAACTAAATTGTGCAAAGGGATGAAACTAAACAATGTCAAGGGGGTAATTAAATTGTGCAAGGGGCAAAAATCAATGATAAGGTGGGGGGCGGGGGGGGGGCACATACTGTTACATTTCACGGGATTAATTGTTAAAATTAAAAAAAATTCATCTTTAGCTAAAGAACAGAGAAGTCTGGTAGGCGTGTCCAGAGAATCCTGGTGGGTGTGTCCTGCATGAAGAGGTGACAAGGGCGTGGCTGAGTATGGGCGGGGAGGTGGAGGAGGAATTCCTCCTGAAATGGCACGATCATCATACTTCATTTTTCCTTCTGGTCGAGGAGCTAGTTACCAGGTTGGTTGGTCCGTCTGTTCTAGTAGAGGAGCTAGTTACCAGGTTGGTTGGTCCGTCTGTTCTAGTAGAGGAGCTAGTTACCAGGTTGGTTGGTCCGTCCGTCGGTAGTGATTTATGGATTGATTGTTACGTTTTTTTTTGTATATGAAATTATTTTATGATGGCCCATGAATTGATTTTTGTTAATTTTCTGATTTTTGTTTGATAAAAAATGTAATAATTGATTAATCGATTGTTGCAAAGGTGAGATTTTTGATCGCTGAATTTATTGATGCATTGATCAATGGGTTACTGCATTGATCGATTGATTCAATAATGATTCATTGATTGATTCATTGATGCATCTACTGATTTTAAAATTTTGCACACTAAAAAACTGGAAAGTTTCAAAAAATGTATTAAAAGTTTTAAAATTTCAATATTAAAATCCCAAAAATAATGTTTTTTATATTTTTAAATATCTTTTAATTAAAAGTTAAATGAAAATGTTGTGCAGGGAGCAGTTAACCGACGTGACCCTCTCCTGTGGAGATATGATTCTAAACGCGCACAGTTTAATGCTCAGTGTATGTTCTCCTTATTTCAGGTAATAATACGGATTTAAAGGAACTGTAATCGTAAATTCAAGTGACCCTACATGCAAAATGGCAATGCACGATCAAAAACAACCCCCTGAAAACCTTAAACGAATAAAAAAATGTGGAAGATGTCGTCGTTTTTTACTCAAATGATTAAAAAAATGTGGAAGACATGATATCGTCGTTTTTTGGCCCGAAATATGTTAATTTCTGATAATTTCTCCATTGCTTTTTATATGCAAGAAATGCTAAACCACTTTCGCAGAGAATCCGCAAATAACTATTTTAAAGAAACAATAATATGGACATCTAATTTCTACTTTATCAGACAAAGCTTTTAAGGAACCGTTGTAAATCGGGCATTGCCATCTTTGCAGGAAGGGTCACTTAAAATTTCACTTACAGTCTCTTCAAAATGTACAGGGTTATATATGTTCTTAAATTTTTTTTTTGGGGGGGGGCCAAGTTTTGAAGCTATTTTTAATAAATGAAAAAGTATCCGTCAAAAGGCAAGTTTTTGTTTATTGATACTTTTTGTCCAGGGGTATTTTCAAAAAAGAAAGATCAATGAAAATAAAAAGTTGGACATGTATATTGTGAAGGCAATTTTCTTCATCCTTTTCAATTTTTATTCTCCAAATAAACCCTTCATAAATGCCTAATATCTCCGGGGGAGGGTGTTTTTTAAATAATATATATCCACAAATATTTGCATTTCAAAGGCATGAACTTAAAAGAAATGAAATTTAATTATTTTTGTAATATAAAAATCAATGAATCGATCCAATCTATTTAAAGTGTGTTGTGATTTGAGCATGCATTTTTCCTGTAAAAAATGGATCCGTTTCCTGGTCATAAATATTTAGTTATTTCCTACTTGTAAGTTTATTTTAATTTTCAACCAGATATCAGGAAGGCATAGGAAAGATATGTGTTATGCAACAAATATTGGTTATTATGTTCTCTTTGAATCCGTGGTTCCCCATATTTTGCAGAGCTTATTTTTTATTCACAACGGTACCATAAGTCTTGTCAGAGTAAAAATTAATAGAAAAATATTGCTTATTTTTGATGTAGGTTTGTGACTTGTGCACTGGAGGAAATTGGCAGAATTATTAAATACTTTCTTAGCTAGTTAAACGATGATTTCTTCCACAATCCACATTATTGATTAGATAAAGGCTTGAAAGAGTACCGTTGTGAATCGAACCTGTCCATTCTAAGTAAAAAAAATCACTTAAAAGTTACAAACAGTTCCTTTAAAGGGACTGTAAAGGAAAAATGAAAGGGGGTATAGGATGAAACCTGAGAATCTCAGGCGTTAAACGATACATAAAAAAAAAACATAAATCTGATGTTCCTGTCGCGAGAAATTGATATAAAACTGTGTAAAATTTATACGAAAATTCATAAAGATACGATTTTGTAGAAAAGTTGTAGTATTAAACAAATCATATTTAACAAATACGCAACCAATCTGAAAACGACGATATTCCACAGGAGCCTGAGAATCTCAGGTTTGCTCCTATTATAATTTATTTTTTTTTATTTTGAATTTTTAATGGATAAAATTGATAATATTATTTATATATATAGTCCATAAAGTCCGTCACTGGGAACTTTAGCCAATGGCAGTGCAGTCTTGTTGTCACGTGATACAGACGGAAATTACGTGACAACTATACATTAGATATATAGGTATTGTTCAACTCCTGAGATTCTCAGGTTTCATCCTACACCCCCTTTCATTTTTCCTTAACAGTCCCTTTAATGATTAATATATTTCAGGAGTTTACTGTCTGAAAACCAGCATCGTGAGAAGCATCATATTATACATTTAAACGGTGTCTCTGGCAGATTAATGCAGCAGCTACTTGTATATATGTACAGAGGAGAATTATCTATTGCACAGGTATGCACACTGTACACGGTAGATCAATGTAACAGTTACTTGATTATATGTACAGAGGAGGGGAGAACTATTGCACGGGGATGTCCAGTGTACTTGGTAGATTCATGCAGCAACTTTTAGTTTATATGTACATTATGGGGAAATATTTTAATTTAAAAAAACGCATATTCACATAGTTTAGGGAAATTTGTATGGGGGAAAAGATATGAGACAAACATTCCCTTTCTAATTTTGTTTCAATATGTTCTGGAATAAAAAAGTTTAGGGAAATTTGTATGGGGGAAAAGATATGAGACAAACATTCCCTTTCTAATTTTGTTTCAATATGTTCTGGAATAAAAAGGCTTGTCTTATGATTTTTAAATTTCTTGTCTCCTTTTCCCTCCCAATAATACTTTTTCTCCTACAAGTCATAATTCAGCGATAAATAACCAAAAAAAAAGTTTTCAAAATAATTTTTTCTAATTTTGAATAATGTTCAGGATGATCTGGGCCCTCTAATAGAAACTGCGAGATGTTTACAGATTAAAGGTCTATCAATGGCCAGCTCAGATATTCAAACTTCTAGGAATTCATCTAAAAAACGCTCAGCTAGGTTAGTCAAGATTTTATATTAATACTAGTTAGGGTACGGATCTTTGTCAGCAGATTTTTTTAGCCAAGTTAAGGACTGTTCCGTGGTTATAACGAGTTGCCCAATCAAAAATTAATATTGATAATTAAGGAACAAATTTTGTCTACTATCGACAATTATTTTTCTAAAGATGAAATTTAAAAAGAAAAAAACGATAAAATAGTTGATGTACCATAAATCGCAAAATAATATGAATTCAGTTCAGTAATATTTAGTGCTTAGGATCTGTTGGATCCGCAAGATTTTGGTTTCCTGTATCCGGATCCGCAAAAATATGTGGATCCAAGGATCCGATCCAAGGGGTTAAATATCAACCAAAAACTGTAGAAAATACACTTAAAACTCAATTCTGAACTGTTAAAAAAAGTTTTACTATAAAAATTTCCTGATCCCTGAATGGTTCATCAAGATTTAGCATAAAATTATGCGAAAAAAGTGGAAAATATTTTGACAATTCAGCTGTTAAAAAAAAATCCGTGAATCTTAAAGAAATGTTCATGACCTGGATCCGGATACATTTTTTTCCAGTGTGAATCCGGATCCGGATCAGCATAAAAATTAAATGGATCCTGAGCACTGATAAGGTTATTATAAATAAGTAAAGTTTATCAATTTTGTTGTTTTTAGTCAAACTCCAGAGCAGTCAGCACTTCACAAACCAAAGGAGAGAAAAATAGCAAGAAAACATTCGCCAGGTAAATTATTTTTAATTCTTCAATTAATATTATCATTTTTTATTATTTACAACATATTTAGCAATTGTATCATCTCTCTGAAAAATTAGAACCAATAAAAATTTAAACCTCCGAAGGATTCAATTATAAACCTGAGGGCTTAGCTTAGCCCAAGGGTTTATTAAAGAATCCTAAGCATGCATAACTTTCATAAATAAGTTTTTTTTTAGCAGAATTCAATAAAATTGTTGTAACACAAAAAAAAACTTTATTTAGCAATGGGCATATCATTTAATCTTGTAGGAAAGTCGATGTAATTTCAAGGGACCCCCTAAATTCTAAAAGCTATTTGAAGGGTCACATTCGGTGTGAGCAAAAAATTTGAAATTATAGGGTTTTGTATCTAATTTGGGAAAATAAACTATTTTTTTAGGGCAACATGAGTGAATTTTTTAGTATTAAGTAGCAAAAAGGATGAAAAACTTCCTTTGATATCCAATTTTGCATTTTTACCAAGTACATGAAAAATCTTTTTCTCCTGGGGTAGTAATTTTAAATTATATATCCCTGAAATAACATTGACACTGTCGACAATCTCTTCTAGAATGGTTCAAATATTGTTCACAATATGGCTAAGACCAAATAGATTATCAAGTTTAATAGTTGGCAACAGAGAAATGGACCAATTATTTACGACATCACACGTGTCAAATCTAACAAGGACGACGAATTTTACCTACATTTATATATGCCAAATTATACACGTAAATAAAGATTTTTAATTAATTTAATCATTATAGCACCTTTTTCATTTTTGTATATTTCTATTGTTTTTTATCATCCTGACAGAAACAATCACAAGAACTGACGATGGTCAATCCAGACCTAAATATATTTTCAATAAATGTGGAACTAACTAACGTCTACTTTTTTTTAACTCTATAGAGGTTTGGTCCATCACAATCACCGAATTTTAAATATTTCCAATATGTTCCTAAGTTTATTCAAAAATTCAGAAAATAAATAGTTATCCTTTACAGACGATATTTCATTAGAGAACTACCATTTCTAATTGACTGCATTTCCGCCGGATCTTGGGGTTTTCTTCAGAAAAATGTTTCCAAAGGACTTCCCTCTAGCGGAAGATTGCATTAAACATTTTTGTTAAACGTTTTAATGGTATATATCAAAATTAAGTTAAAGAGTGTTAAGTACCATATCTGTTTCTACCCGATTATTTAGTCAAGAGGACATTAAATAAAAAATGTGTAAAACCAGAAAATAAAAATTTTACATTGCACTGTAAGTTCAGCATTTTATTCAAAAATTATGACTTTTATTTATAAACTGAGTTGACACATGTGACGTAGATACATCTGAAATGAGAGTGTACGCATTCTGCGTTGCCACCTATTGTACTGGATGATATTTTTGGCTGAGACTGATTGTTCAAAGCCGTATCGACTTATTTATTAACTATCAAATGAAGAAGTCAGGCTTAATGTCGGGGAAATGTCCGACGAGTGACGACTTTAATTAAAAATGACTGAAGGCGTAATTTCATGTGTCTTTAAATGCAAAGATGTCTAATGTCGATGCCCGATTCAACATGTAAGATCACTTGTATTTACGCGTACAGTCATAAAAAAAAATTTGACCTCGGGAATTTATTTTAGTAAAATGTTTGTTGGGTCCTCGAACTAGTTCTCCTAGCCTTGAGGTTCACGAGATCACCAGAACAACTGATCTCGCGGTCGGTCAAGACTTCGTCGGAGCCCATGACCTCGTCATAGAGGAGGAGAGGGAGGAGGACGAGGAGGAGTACTCGGGCATGACCGAGTATCCACAGTATACGATCAAGGAGTACTCGGAGAACGGGGAAAATTATGGAAAAGGAGGGAAAGGATCTTTTCAATCTGGACCCGTGGTAAGTCTTATAAACAATTTGTCATCAAAGATTTTTACATTTTCATCCGTATTTGGGCAAATAGGGACAATAGCGATGTCCTCAAATGAATATCCTTAAATGCCTTACCATTTTTAGAGTGGAATATCAGATACGCAACGGCACCCGTAGAAGCTTTGTCTGATCAAGTATTAATTTAAGTATGTCCCCATGTTTCTTTGATTAAAAAATGATTATTTTTAATTGTCAAGCAAATTTCTCCTGTAGAAACAAAATGGGGAAATTATTTGATTTTAACACTTTTTAGCTACTGCTAGCAATACGACGATATCTTCCACATTAATGATCAGAAAAGTTGTAACAGGGAATCGTTCACAATCGAACATGCTCCTATTTAAATGGAGTAGGGTGTCACATTTTTTTTAGATATAGATGCCACACTCCCACTTAGATCCTGGTTCATTTTGGTCTACCGAGTCTAAAGAATTTTTTTTATTTCGGGAACAAGTCGGACTATTCATTTAAAAATGTGTTGATTAAATTTTCAAGGATAGATAGCATAATCTCTCATAAACTCTGAAAGAAATAGTAAAAAAGATATATTTTTTACTGAGAATTCCTGTGAATCCTTAATAGATCAATTAATCTTAAATATATCACCATTCTTGATGGATCAATTAATTTTGAATGGATCATCATTGTGAATCAACAATAGATCAATCTCATCCTCAATGATCAATTCATCTTAAACAGATTTAACAAGGTGAATCAACAATAGATCAATATTATTCTTGATTGATCTGTTATTCTTTAACAGATCATCATTGTGAATATTCAATAGATCAATCTCATCATTGATAGATCAATTAAGATTAAATAAATCAACATTGTGAATCAACCTAAGATCAACCTCATCCTTTTTCAAGATTAATAAATCTTAAACAGGTCAGCATTGTGAATCGACAGTAGATCATATCATCCTTAATTGATCAATTAATCTTAAATAGAATCAATATTGTAAATAGGCAATCTATTAAGGATGAGATTGTCTATTAATAATATTGATTCTGTTTAAGATTAATTGATCAATTAAGGATGAATATTACCTACTGTCTATTAACAATGCTGATGTGTTAGAGATTAATTGATCTACTGTCAATTCACAATGCTGTTTGAGATTAATTAANATGGAGGGTCATTTCAAATTACAAGACCCGAACCTATTCTAAACCTATCTTTATTCTAGTCTCTGCCTATGTTACCTAAACCACTATCTAACTTAAACTGCTGAGACACGAACCTATTCTAAACTGATCATATATATTTTAGTCCCTGCCTATGTTACCTAAACTATTATCTATCATGAACTGCTGAGACTCGAACCTATTCTAAACTGATCATATATATTCTAGTCCCTGCCTAAGTTACCTAAATCATTATCTATCCTGAAAACTGCTGAGACTCGAACCTATTCTAAACTAATCTATATTCTAGTCCCTGCCTATGCTACCTAAACCATTATCTATCCTGAAAACTGCTGAGACACGAACCTATTCTAAACTAATCTATATTCTAGTCCCTGCCTATGCTACCTAAACCATTATCTATCNTATTATCGGGAAAATGAAAAATAAAAAATTCGAGGAACAGTGTCTAATTTTACTTTTGCATGCCTCAACTACGTCAATTTAATTTTCTGGGTCACTTGAAAATACGTCATTAGTTACTAAAAAGAAAATAAGAAAGCTCCCATAATCCATAACCCTGATAGATGTTTCCACTAAAGAGATAATAATTGTTTTGTTCTAGCCGCAGTGGTGGCCCCAGCACGTTTTACCCTGGGAGGAAATGAAGAAAATGGGAGGAAGAAAATCCCAAGAGCTCTCGCATATAAACTATACTGAGATACTCAAGCAGTGCCTGGCTGCGGTAAGAAATCCTTTAATGTACAGTACAGTGAGGCCTAGAAAACTGTGGAATAGGAAGACTGCATATTTAAGAAATTTTATGTATATTGGAGGTTGTTGTAAGAAAACCTACCAATAGTTGACAAAAAAAATTTAATCAGTGGCAATGTTTTACGTTTAATGGACTTAAAAACCATAATTTGAGTGTTACGATCATCTAAATATTCCACAGTTTGTGGGTTCCATTATATATCATAAGAGCTATCACAATTCACAATAATACTAAGATATTAAACTTAGCCAGGGTTATATATTATATACCCCCACCCTCAAGCTATATTTTATATATTCCCATTCTAATTAGAATCAATGGAAATTCAAACCCCCAAGGGATTCAATGATAAACCCAATGGCGTATATGTATAAACAAACAAACAAACAAACAATCAACATCATTCCGTAGAAGTCAGGGCTGAGACCTCATCAAAAATAGCCACAATGGCTATTAATGTACCAATTCGTGACACACTGTCTAGTGTGGCCAACTGTCGAAGTTACAGACCAATGACTTAAGCCACCGCCCAACTGCACACTAAACAGTCCCCTGGAGTAGTCCATCTCGGTACTACCCCATACGAAGCTGTTAAAAAGTCTATTAATTTATTATTAGATACTTGATTAAAATTAGGATTGTTTGACAAAACCCCACCAGGAGAGCCGCGGACCTACAGCTAGCCTACATGGCTAGCTACCAGCCAGGACTCCAGTAACACTGCCATTTTCCTCCCTCTCTCAAGTAGGACTGCTTGGTCCGACCCATTCCCCCCCTAAGATAAGCCCTGAGAATCTGCCAGATAGGTTTCTTACCTCGTACTACAGAGATTGAGTGGTAATCTGCTATCCCGAAATCCCTACGCTGTGCCGCCACACATGGGCAAATAAGGACCACGTGAGTCTATCAGCCTGGCACGGACACCTTTAGAAAGACACCATGGGCAAAAAACGTGGGTACAGCCGTATCTGTCCTTATATATTATATACTCCCACCCTCAAGCTCAGCGTTTTGGATCCGGATCCGGTCGGATCCGTATCATTTGGTCGGATCCGGATCCGTATCAGGAAACGTTGATATGGATCCGGGTAGCGCCAAAAATTAACCAAAACTATGGAATAAATAAATCAAAATGGTTCGTAAATGTATTATTTACATGACGAAAATTTTTCAAAATTATCTTTATTAATTTAATGTTTACATTTATATAATAGTGATGACGACATTTTTAACTTTAGGATTAACTTTAGGAAAATCCGATTCACGGAATCAAAAGTTACCTCGGACCCGGATCCGGATCCGTATCAGAGTCAGGATCCGGATCCATCATCACGGATGCGGATCCGAAACACTGCTCAAGCTATATTTTATTTATTCCCATACTAATTAGAATCAATGGAAACTCAAACCCCTAAGGGATTCAATGATAAACACAATGGCGTATATGTATAAGAGTAAATGATATATTTAGACTATCTAAATTCTTCAAAAAAAATCCTCATCCTGTATTTATTTTCAGGGTTATGAATATTTTGGGTATGATCCCTCGACCTATTTCTGCAGTGATCCCCCGGACCTGGAGACTAGTTACACCGAGGAGACCAGCTACGACGAGTACAGCGCCCTCGCCCTATCCTCCGACCAGGATATGGAGGTTCAAGAACATGAACTACAGATAGATCTTGGAGCAACTAGCTCTGAGAGCAAAATAATAGATCGAGACCAACAAGATCAAATATTGTGCAAATAGGTGATTGATCCGGGTTCTTCCCAAAAAAAAACTTCGGCCAGTTTAAAATTGGAAAATATCAGCCCGATTTGAAAGAAATTACCTTTTTTAGTAGAAATAACCAAATTTTAAAGAAAACCACAATTTTTGGAGGAAAATTATCCATTCTGTTTAGTAACAAATTTTGGAAATCTACCAAATTAGAATAAAAATCTACCAAATAAGATTAAAAAATCTGCCAAATTTTGATGTCGACTTAAAACTGGGAGGAATCTTGTGATAAATATAGAACAGAGATATTTGATACCATGACAACAGTGATTAATAGACTAAACGTTGGAGAGAAAAGGTGGCATTAGAAACAAAAATAATATTAGAGCTTTAAACCAATACGTCAAAACCATTTACTTAGGAGCTTAACGCTATATATAAATTTATTAACCCTACCCATATTGGGGACGGCAGCACTGCGATTTGTTTGTTTATTCTGCAGAAATATATTGGATATCGATGTTGTACTAGGAAACCTGTGAAATTTTGCATTTTGCATACTTTGTTTAATGATATCCAATTCATTTCTTCAGATATTTTATTATTTTCATTGATTTTGTCAGATTATTTTGTGCCATTTTAAACCCTGTTTTGCTAATATGTGTTATGAATTTATGCTCAAAACGCAGCTTAGCTCACTCGTTTAATTATTTCTCTCTTTAATAAGAAGTTGTGCCAAAACTTCCTTGTTATATTTTTTGTTTATTTTCATGTACCCTGCTTTAAAACATTTATCATCTAGATAATGAATATTTAATAAAAACTTAAAATGTGCAAATTGTGAAATTCAATGAATGGAAATAGGTCTTAATATAGATTTAGGCTGGTAAAGGTAAAACAAGGCATTTAGGCAGATATGCCTGAGGACTAAGGCAGTATGTATATAAAAGCCGAGCTTTTAGCCTTAAGTGAGGGGCATGGGTAAGTTAGAAAGGCCAGATAATTTGAGCTTCCTAGCTAATACACTTTTTGAGTTATCGCAAAAAACGATGGGGGGTGGTCAAATTTGACCCCCCTCCCAGGCCAAATAAAGTCAATTACTTATTTAAAACTCAAACTTAGAACAATTGTTTAATATTTCCAAAATGTTTATTAATTTTTGTAAAATCCGCGACATTTTCTTAGATTTGTCAAATTGGGACTTCCCCATTCTCACGCCCGTGCTCTTGTTCTTCTCTATTACAATGAAAATCAAATTAATTTTCTGCAATCTGGGTTCGCCATATATTTCATGCCATTTGGAGAAATTTTCAAGTTCAAAATTGTTAGTTTGTAGCTTTACTAAGCGTGTGTTTTGAGCACAAGATACAAAATGTTTTCTAGTCTTTGTCCAGTAATTTAAAGTTTTTTCTAGTGAATTGTTTAGATATGTAATGCAAGGAGTATGGAATAGTAGGGAGATACAACTGACGCGGCCCGCCCTACCATATGATTGTACATGCATGCTTTGCAGACGGTACTCCATTTGAATAAGAAATACAATTCTGAATATTTCTTATACAAATGGAGTACCGCCTGCAACGCTTGTATGATAATATGGTAGGGCGGGCCGCGTCAGTTGTAACTCTCTTCTATTTCATACTTCTTGGTTTAATGGACCGGAGTTGGAACAAAGCTCGTTATTTTTTGTTTTAAGACGAGATATTTTTTGTCTATAAAGTTAAAACTTAATCGTTTTATTTTATCAAACAAAATGGGAAACAAAACAATGTTTCATGTTTAAAGACAACTTTTATTGAAGATGATGTTTTAGTCAAACCTAAGTTATATTAAAAGGACCATATTTTTTTCTCTTTTGATTGCTTGAGTCAACTTCGGTCCCGTTTATTAGACAACAAAGCGTGGAGTAATATATTTTCATATAATCTTCCTCCCCCCTTTTCTTTGTCTACTAAGAAATCAGGTTACACTGAAAAATCAGATCAGTTAGTGAACATTTGAAATATTAAAACCTTTGTCGAAAACATTTTTTGTGATATTCGTCTTTTCTGATAAATATTTGATCATTTGCTTAAAAAGTGACTTGCGGATTTTACAGCAAAGACTTGATTTGAAATAGATTAAAACGAAAACGACGGATTTCTTCCTAATAATTTATCAGAAAAAGTTACAAGGTTGCAGTTACAAATCGTTACTCGTGTATGCTACTTTCCCAAACAAGGATCAATTGACAGTCCTTCAAATCTATCTGCATAATTATAGGGGGGGGGGGGAAGTTGTGAAAATATTTACCTCTGTTATTGTGAGCTTGTGAAACTAGTGATAAATCAAACTAAAGAAACGCAACCAAACCCTTCTGGAGAGTAGAAATCAACTAAAAGTGGAGAGAATATTCTTTAAAATGTAAGTAATAAATTTCACATAAATTGTACTCTTAATTTAATAAATAATTTATTTGCAAGATTTAGACTTAAACTGAGGAATTCTCACTTTTGTTAGATACATTTGCCTGTCTCCGATCTAAATTAGTTTATCTACAAAATTTGATATATCTGTTTTTAGTCAGAATTAGTGTGTTTTGTTATGGATTTTGCCTAATTGATGAAACTTCAATTTTTTACTAAAAAGAAAATTATATTTATGATTGTTACCAAACCAAGAAATATCTAATTTTACTTCAAAGGAATAGTTTTTGTCCTGATTTTGTCCTTTATAGTATATAAGGAAGGCTTGTGTTCAACTTTTTAATTTAAAGCTTGTAAGCGCCATTGATGTTTTTTTCGGCAGCCTTTAAATGAATTTTACACAGAGACTGGTTTAGACGTTCGATTTGTCTTGCCATCTTCTACATCGTCAACTAAGACATTTGAGTTTATGGAAGAAGACATATAAAACTATTCATTAACTGTCTTGTTTCATGGGACACCCTGTAGGTTTTATGTTTAAGCTGAAAAGTAACAAATTCACAAATAATAAGGTAAATACGAGGTGTACGAATATTTTCACAAAACAAAGAGCTGTGACTTGAATTTTTTGTTATGTTTAAGCTGAGAAGTAACAAATTCACAAATTTAGAAGTATATACGAGGTGTACAAACATTTTCACAAAACGAAGAGCTGTGACTTAAATCTTTGGCATAATTTTAGACTATAATGCTATAACCACCAAACCCCCCCCCCCCCCCTCTTACGCACAGTTTTCGAAATGAAAAGGGCGTTTTGTTTCAAAATCATTTCGCCGGAAAATACATAGCGTCCCATATCATATTAGATTATCTCCAAGCTTTAATACCAAAAAACTAAAGTATTTTCCGCTAGTAAATTTTTATATTAATATAATTAGCCTTATCTTATTAGAATTTTTCAAAATGATTCATTCTCCTTAAATTTTCTGATTATTCCCGAAAATTGTAATTTAGACCGATTGACGATCTAATACGATGTGGGACACCCAATAGGAGTCAGGGTCGTACTCAGGAATTTTTCTGGGGGGGAGGGGGTTACACTTTTTTCTTTCCATGGAGGGCAGAGCCCAGACTCCATCCGACCCCTTCATGAGTAGTGAGTACGTCGATCTGTAGGAAGTGCATACTTTTTCTATGGAAAAAATTCACCCCTTCAAGCAGTACATATTTTAGCAATTTGAGTCTCAATTTGCAATCTTTGCAATTATTCTTCTCAAACTTTTATTGAAACCAATAATTTAATGCAGATTTGAGCAACAGATGGCGTTACATTTTAAACTTTCTCCTGCTTTCTCAATATTTCCGGCATCAGTAAGCACCCAACATTGCGGCACACAAAGTTTTCTTACTCATCTAAAAACATCTTCCCTCTGATTGGTTCAAATATTCTGTGTCCTAAGCCCCTATTGGTGGATTTTTGAAGGTTCTCTAAAGATTTTGCAGTGAAGAAATTTAAAGTTCTCAACTGAAATCTTGCTCAAGCTTGAAGATAATGAATAAAGCTGAGATGTTGTATGCCTGCAGTAAATGTTTTACAAGACATCCATTCGAAGAACTTTCCCAGGGACAACAATTGTGCAAGGTGAAGATATTAATATTATTTAATAATATGTTTATCTCTTAACTGCACAGTTTGAAATTTCATCAGCATCACAGAATAAAAATAAACTGATTGTTTGGCGATTAGTCTTGATTTAATTGGGAAATTCAATGCTTTTATCATCTTTTTATTAATTTTTGTAAAATGCAAGGAATTTTAGGTAAAATTGAAAAAGGTCCAAATCGTCCAAATGTGTACTTTCATTACTTGGTCAATTACAGTTATTAACTTTTGCCCCTCCACCCCCCCCCCTCCCTGTATGTGCTTGGCGCAGTGCTCGTCCCGAAAATTGTCTGAAATTTAAGAAATTGCCTGTATGGAAATAAATATTTAATATTTTTTAACGTTAAAAAATTATTTATTTTGAAATATATGTGATTTCCTAAACTCCCCCCGG